TATATATATATAGGTACACGGGAGCCGCGGTGGATGTCAATCGGACGGACGTTAATGCTGCATTATAACAACGGCGGCAGAGTTCCCAGTGGGAAACGATTATAAGCCCGAGCGCGATGGCTCCGTACTGTATATATAAATACAATATTACTGTATACTATTATTGCTATTATATACATATTTGTATTATATTTCATGTACATATATTATGTACGCGGCACACGCTTGTATGGTATATGTATATAGAGTCTCCCGTGCCGTTGCAGTCTCCGCCACGTCATCCCCAGCGGGAAATTTCGTTTCGTTAAATATTTTATCTCGTATTTAAATAATATAATATATAGGCTTTCGTGTGTTATATATTATACAACGATAATATGTATATTATGACATTTTTTTTTTTTTTTTTGGTTTTTCCTTTTAAAAACGATTTTTACGATCAGTTGCACGGGTTTGAGCATTATTATTCTTAAATTAATGGATGGAAGGATGGAACCGTGAGATTATAGCTTAATTTGCTTGTTCGTTATACTATTTTTAATATAACGAAACGATAAGCTATAATATTCGTCCGTGTCAGAACATGACGTTTAATGTATTTATACATTTATTTCATATTTATTTAAGTAAAGAAGTACAATAGAAATAATTGCAATATTGAAGACGTCATGATAAAAATCTTGTCATTTCAAAATGTTTGGTTAAATCCTATACATATAGTATAGACAATCACTAATACCACGATGACACATTTTTAGCGTGCTTTGACTTCTCTGCACTGCTCTTGGTGTGCGCTTCACGGGTTAAGCCCCTTAACTTCTCAACATCCATGTGAAGAATGCAAAACAAATATTACTTATAACTTCTACAATAATCGAGGATAACGGGATAAATAAAATGGGTGGGAAAAACCGTTTGTAGGTAGGTACTTTGCACGCAGAGCGCTTATTATTTTACGTCATAATTTTTCAACGTGTCATTACGATTCGTGTTTATCGAGTTGACGATATGACAGCGTAGGTTTTATCGGATGCCATGGTGGGGGGGGGGGTGAACAACCCCTCCCCTTTGGGACTTGGTTAATTCCTTTTGATATGTAAATATTAAAAAATAATAATTTATGACAGTTATTAACAGTATAAATTTAATAAATGTTTTAAACAATAACGAAAATAAAACACATATAGGTGACAGACTGCACCCCTCTTCAACTATAGTTGGTAAAAATATTTTTTGTGCTGTACTATAAGTTCACCCCCGCCCGCATAATGTATCGTCGAAAATCTTATTCCGCAACTTTATATAAAAAGTCACCGACTCCGAGGTATCTCTGAAATTTTCTTTGGTCTAGAGTGAACGTCGAGCAAGTCTACATATCAAAACCTTACGAGTGGGTGATTCGAGCCATTTAGGTACTATACACCGTGCGTTAATTAGCAAACCCAATAAATAGTCATCATCGTCGTATAGCGACAACCCCCCCCCCTCCTCACAGGTCGAGGTGGTATCGTCGGCGAAAGGAAATGAGAAAAACCGTTCGGTAACCCTACCCGTCATCGCACGCGACTCTGTGCGTATAATATCAAACTGTTTGCGCTCGCAGTTCCGTCGAAAAGGGTTTTCGGGGCGAAGAATGCTTAAAAAAATTAAGGGACGAACATGTGTTGCGCCAAAAACAATGTGTAATTATCGGTCCACGTGGCGGAATAATCGATTTTATCGTATTATTACTGTTATTGCGTATATATCGGCGTCGGCAAACTCTTCTTCCGGCACCTCCTCTTACGGTGGCCTATATGGGTGCTGCACATGTCACGCAATATTTCATAATTTTATAACGTTAGTGGAATATAAAATAATAATAATAAAAATAATTGTAATATCGATTAACTCGGTTGCCGATCGATTATCTACACGGAGTGTCTATAACGGTTTTCACATCGCACTTTCATCGTACACTATTTATTTATCCTCATAGTTTGTTCTCGGAAACGGATGCACAATTTTTTTCCTTACACAAAAAGGTTTTACCGGCGCTGTTGTGGAACGCCTATCGCGCGTCCAATGTACAATATTATATTATATCTCCCCGTTTCCGGAAAACTAAATATTAACCCTTGACTTGTGTCACTGACTCGAAAACCATCCGATGTGAACAGTAATATGCAGTATACCTTATTATTATTATGTAAGTACCTTATTCTAATTTATCGACAATACTGAGGCCGTTTGACGACTTCCTTCCACGGTGCCAAAATACCTGTATGAGAGTGAAAAAAAATATTATGACTTCCTATATAATGTATATGAAAAAAAAATGTAGGACCAGAAGTAATTAAGTAATTACTTATTTTAATGTCATTTTTACTATTTGTTTTAAACAATATATAGAATACAACATTACAAAAAAAAAAAAACATCATATTATGGTTACAAGTGAAAACATCAATAATTATAATTGTATACTAATAATCATAATAATTATAATTGTATGGTAATTAAAATGTAAAACATAATATATATGGGTAAAATTCGACCCGGCAATACCATTTATGTGTCGTGATACACGATTGATAGTCGAGGGTTAAGACTGTTCACCTTTGTAATTAAACCCCGTTCGATTAATGATTATTTTAATCATATTTTGGCAAATATTTTTGATAAGAGGGCGACTACACCGCGACTAAGACCCAACGGTTTGCCCGTTTTCCTGTCCATTGCCAGATTTCAATTTTATTTACTGTCAATAATTAGATAAAGGACATAATTGTTTAAGTGGTGCTCCGTCCACGATTTTCTTTTAGGGAATTTATCACTTACACTCACGCGCATTTGTCACACCAAATTAGATTATTATAAAAAAAATGATATCCGAAATATGTATTATTATACCTGTGACGATTTCGGTTAAATTGAGTGCGAAATATGTGAACCAGACTTTTTTTCGTTTCATTAAACATCCGAATTATACAATTCATATTCTAACCACTTCAGTTCCAATGAGTAAGTTTTTCAATTTAAAATATCTACTTACATTCTTTTTTTTCACAATAAAAATTATAAACTCTACTGTTGTAAACGGATTTACACAGAGTAGAAACTACACTTAACTTTTTTACGATATCAGCCAATTTAAAATCGGAATGTAGCAGCCCAGGGTGTACTAAACTCTTATCTGCGCCATTATCATAATGTAATAATTTATAGGATTTTAAGTGATGGAAAATCTTGAGCCTTAGTTTTGTTATTTTGACGGGTTCTTTTGAATGAATTTATAAGTAAATTCAAAACATTTGTTAAATTTCGACCCAAATTGACGATCTGAAAAGAAATTGAAAACCATCACAGGTGCAATAATATTGTATACAATGTTCTAAAATAGTTATAATGTGCTTGTTAATTTGAAATAGGTAAATTTACCATTAATGTATCATTTTTTAAATCATTTTATTAATTTAATATAATATGTCATTCAACATTTTATACGTTTATATTGTATATGAATTGTTATTGTACCCAATACGCTTTATTTGAATTGATTACAAATTAGTTTGTTATCCGTAACTGAATTGCCCGTTAACATCTTGTGACTTTAAGTACCTATCACGTATAATTACTACTGCAGGGACGCACATAGAAAACAATTTTCGGAGTGATATGTGGGGTGGGGGTTGATCCCCAACAATCTTCCGCATACTTACGTGCCTCGGTAACGCGTACATTCGACTAATTGTTATATATTATGGTTAATAGTATTTAAACATTATTATATAATAACATAAATGATTAAAACGTAAACAAAACGTGAGGATAATCAAGTCTATGTCGGAGGGTTTAATCCCTTACTTTGGGATTTGAATCCCCTCCGAAATTATCTGCTAGCATTCAATTATAAGGTGAATAATAAATAACACTAAGCTATTCATGAGCAGACTGCAGTTTAACATAAATAGCCGAATAATTGCTTTTTGCTTCTAAAATATACCTATATTATAGTCTACTCGCAATACAGTATAATGTTAATAATATTAACAATATTCATAATTAACGATAATCATTTTT